AAGACAGTAAATAAAAGCTTTAACAGAAAAAGAAGAATTGTCCTTACTCAAAATATTAAATCTACTGCCTATAATATTAACTTTCCGACTAAAAATGGCGAAACGACTGAATGAGATACTGAAATGTTCGAAAAATAAACATGACTGTTTATTGCTGAAAATACATTTCTACCAGCATAAATTATATTATTATATTATAAATTATGCTATACGTTCATATTTTTTATATATATATACGTTCTACTGAAAACTATGCTTTGTCTTGTCTATTCTAATCTAATCTAAAACCTCCGTTGTCGGTAACTTATAACTTACTAATTTGATCTGAAGTATTCGGAATATACTTTTGTTGTTCAAAGATCCATTTTTATAGTCGGCCACAGATTGCTGGAGATTATTTGTTTTTCGGAACCATTTTTTTCCTCTTTGGCAACCGAGTATCCAATACGATGTTGTCGACTATGCTGCCAGTGGTGACGGCAGATTATTGAACTGTCGAACTTATCTTTGTTATTTCATAAAATTTCATTTCATAAAAATATAACACGTGATACTAACTGCCAAGAAAAATTAAGAACCGAAGTCGTACTCACATGTCCACGACCAGAAGTTAAACTCCAAAAAGTAGGAACAAATGACGCAGACCAACCATATCAAATATTCCCACACGATAAAAAAACAACAATTATATCTAGAATTTCGTGTGACCTTGAATTGTTTCCTCTACGCCTGATTTATATTTTATATCTCAGACTCAGACTAGACTATTTACGATAGCTTTAAATATTGCAATACTATTTAAATATCTGTAGGTATGGAACAAGTGTAGACTCAGACACCTAAAGAATATTTTATTGACTGTTTAAAAGATCAAGTTACAACTTATTATTTAGCAATGGATTTTTTAGTATTTCGTTATTGGTGAAGAGCTATTTTTTTAAATAGTTTATCATCATTTGGAGACTATAGATGATAAAGTCACAATTTTTTATCTATAAGCAGATATATACAAAGTAATATCCACTTTGCACTAGTACCGATAAAGCCCAATTTTGGAGATACCAGATTAAGTGTGGGAGAGCCATGCTTCGGCACGAACGGGCCGGCTCAACCGGAGTGATACCACGGCCTCACAGAAAACCGACGTGACGCAAGGCTTGCGTTGTGTTTCGACGTGTAAGTGAGGTTACCCAATTACCCTCTCCTTCCCCAATCTCCCCAATTTCTGAATCCCCAACGATCCTCAAACTCCTAATCCCCAAAAGGCCGGTAACGCACTTGTAACGAGGCGTTACGATCGTACGAGAGGCGATACGTCGATTGAAGATCGACTTATTTCTGCGATGTGTGCTTGTATTGTATTTTAATAGTGCAGTAGGGCTTTGCTCATTCAGACAGGTATAAACATGATGTTACCTGTTTTGGACTGTTGAACAAAATCGTAGTCCTTAGCTCAGACAAAAAATGCCTCTATTGTGTATTCGGAGACTTTTCCAAGACCCAACTGCAATGGTAGTTGGACTACTACCATTGCACTTATAAAAATTACGATATAGCTTTTTATTTCTTTAATTTTTTTTATGGCATAAGCCGGTAAACGAGCATGTGCTCATCGCTCGGATCACCTGATGGTAAGCAATCGGCGTCGCCCATGGACACCTGGAACACCAGAGGCGTTACAAGTGCGTTACCGGCCTTTTGGAATTAGGAATTTGAGGATTATTCAGATTCAGGGAAAGCCCTCCTTTCCCTGGGGGGGTAATTGGGCCTCCAGTTAACTTATAAGCTATTGATGTGAAATTATATGATATGTATTTAAGTAGTTTAACCAATTACAAGATGTTTAAATATAAATGACTCATAAAGGACACTGTCAACTAAAATGAATAAATTACTGACTATCTTATTGGATCTTAATCCCATTTCATTCCTAGATTAACATTTGATACCTATATTATTACCTAACGAGCTACAATTAGCGAGTTTAATAACCAGAACCTAAACATATTGGGGACAATGTTAATAAATCTATCCTTAAAATGACACGCCATTTTCTATTCTATCCCTTATGAAATAGAGTTGAGATTAAGTGTTTTAGCTTTTGAATGTAAATTGGTTTAATCTAGCCATATAATAGTGAATTTTATGTACAACTAGCTATTATTTGCGATTCTGTTTACATAGAAATAATTTTCTACAGAAATAGTAACTGTTTTCTGAACCTCTGACTTCTACGTAAGAAATATAGACCAGGAGCAAAAAGAAAATAATACATTAATCCCTGTGAATCACGTTTATCCCGAAATGTAAGCTATATCCGTGCCTAATTTCATTAAAATCTGTGCAGCAGTTTTGGAGAAACCGAGACCGACCGAGACAAACGTACAAACATACATCTTAACGTTCGTATTGTGTAATAGTAGTTAAGCTACAGCTCTATATTAATATATTCATTTGCGGTACAGCACAAACTAGGAGACCTAGTTAGAGAACTATATTTTAAACGTTTAATGCACTCTTGCGCAAGTTAAGTACTAAATAAACCAGCACGTTACAGTTTGAACGGCCATTTCAAAGTGGGGTTAAGCAGATTTACTTGTAACAAAAGGCATTTTGTAGGCAAATTGTTTTGTTAAATTTGTTTGTTTTTTAGTTAGTACTTTTGTGAAGACAAAAGGGAATCAATGTATTTAACATAACATAACATACATAACATCACACCTTTTATCCCCGAAGGGGTAGGCAGAGGTGCACACAGAAGTAACACCCACTTTTCACTATTTATGTTATGAGTCCCATGTAATAGGGGGTGAGCCTAATGCCATACGCCGGACACATTTCCAGCCTCCGTGCTACTATTGAGATTTTTTGAAAAAGCCCAGTAATACTTTGCCCGACCCGGGAATCGAACCCGAAACCCCTTGCCCGGTCGCACTTGCCACCACTCGACCATCGAGGCAGTCATCATCAATGTATTTATCATGCCAATTTGCTTTAAGACACAAATTAACTCGTCGAGTACCGGTTTTGTAGACACAATTATAGAACAATAGGTTGCGGTCACCGGTGACCGCTTGGTGTTTGACAGTTTAACCTACATTTGGGTATATTTAAAAAGATAATATTATCAAGATTGTTTGTCTTATAAGCCCTCGTCTCACCGAAAGTACGACATACATTTGTATTATATTATACAAATTATCTTTGAATTTATTTGCGTGCCTTTTTCTTTTTTTTTATTTAGTGGTTTTAATCATCCAATGTCTTCACCCGCCCGGGTGAGGCGAGCGAGAGGGAGTGTCAGACTCTCACTCAGTATAAACCACCCCGTTCCTACTCCTTCACTTCGAGCTGGAACCCCGATAACCCTTTACGTTCTCCGCGACTGCGTATCCTGTCGAATCATTGCTTTTTCTTTCTTCCTTTCAAATATCACACTCAAATTTCTCGACAAAATACCTAAGTATAGTGAATAAACATTTCACCAGTATATTATCTCCTAAATCTTAAGAATAAGGTACAACAACCTAGAGGTATATCTAAACACCATCTTACACTGCCCACAAATTCGCAAAAACAGTGCTAATACTGAAAAATCCAATAATCAAAAACAACCTAACTTTGGAAACGAATTTGAAATCCTGCACTCGGTATTTGCACTTGTCGCAAATAGACACGAAACAGCGCTTGTTCTGAAAGATATTAAATGTCAAATATATTTGCAGGTTTATTGGTGCTTAAAGAAACAAACGTGCCTCCAGGAACTAATTTTAAGTCCCGTTAAATGGTCGACGGACATGAATCCCTGTTTGATAGTTTATTTGTAAATTCTTCTTCATAAATAGGTACCTATAGCATAATAGGTATCTTTGGTACAAGCCTAAGAAAGGCTAGAACCATGATCAATAAAGACTATAATCAATCAAATTACCAAAATGTTTTCTTTAAATCATTTTCTTGGTATGTGCCTACTGTTTTTGTGATATTTTTAATTTTATTTATATACTTTTGTCTTAGCTGTTACCTATTTACTCACTATTCATGTGAATCTGTACGTGGTTTAATGGTACTATTTTGCTGCTAAATTTGTACAGTATAGCCGTTGATTTACCATAATATAAATAAATACATTCCTATTCAATATTATCACGTCATGCTCATACCTTTTAATCCCCGAAAATGTAGGATATAGTGCAGATTTTCAGTGTTCAGGTGTAACACAAACTGTCCCCCAGTTATTTAATGTCTCTCATAATGTAGGGAACAGCCTGTTACGTCATAATAGCTTGTCGTTTCTGACTCTGTGATTACTAAACCAAAAATTAGTAAACAAAGAGTAATAACAGTAGTTGGGGTACTATTTTCTACTCTATTTTCTAATTTTTGAAGTATTTTTTGATTTGTGCCTATGAGTAGGGCTTAAGGCGAGAGAGAATGTTGTCTAGAAACTGTTTAGTCTAGTCATTGAAAGTAAAATATAACATCTTAAAACACAAGGCATTTCTTACTTAGTGATCATTGTTTTTATGTAAAATTTACTAGAATTCCATGCCGTTCTCCTTTGGAAAAATTACTTGGCACATTGCAAAAACAAATTCAAGACCAAAGTGAGTAAGAGACAGAATAATTTGCATGTACTTATTATGCTTTGCTTTTAATATTCAGAATCAAGGAATAAAGGTAACAAGAATATAGTCATTTCTAACGCCAAACACGTTTTCGTATGACTCAATACAGCAGTTTGAAAATAGCTGAGCTTTTTATCAATTTCAAGTCTTTGAAAATACTTCTACAGAAGACACTTAAGAACCTTATTAGAAGAGTGTTCCTAACTTAGTATAGTTCGTAGAATTCCTTGTTAGAACTTAAAGTCAACATCGTCACCACACTCGTTTGAAGTTGGTAACATAACGTCGCCTCTGACTTTAAGTTGTTTAGAAAGTGTACTCCTAAGTTAAATATAACTTAAGTTACGACTATGTCATGCAAATGAGGCTTACCTATACACTGGTCCCCTTTTTCCTCACAGATTTGACGTAAGAGATGTTTTCCCACATTTTCAACTGCCGACCAATCCTTCCATATCCAACACAAGCCGGTATCAATCACTAAACTCACAACCACTCATAGTTTCACTTAACACTAGCTTAATTGAACCTCAACTTGAACCAACTTAACCGAAACTTAACACGTCGGAACCGGGATGACAATGTTCTTAGCACTATGACAACTTTCAAGTAGCACTTAACTATTACGGCACTTTTAACTTGTTCTGCAGCACTGGGGAACGTTTCAACTCAGTTATATTCGTCGAGTTTTGTTAAATATGTCAAAATAATTTGACGTGTGAAGTTATAAGGGGTCCCTATAAAGCGTTTGATGACCTCTAAAGTTGCTTTACAACTGAGTGTTGAATGCAAAGCGCACGGTTTCTCCTGCGCGCGCGCAGCTCGGTATGCGGCCGCGCCTGTGTGTGTGTGCGTCGGTACACGACGACACGCATACGCTGACAAACAGGCTGCACGGTTTTTGTCGATGTCCACGGGGCAAGTAACCTTAGTAGTATAGCGTTGTAGCTCGAGAATTGTCGAAGGTATTTTTATGGATTTTCTAAATATGGATAATATTAATGACTAGTTTTTTGACGTTTAACTCCCGTTATTATGATTTGAAAGATTGGGGTTCTTTGTATGCAAAATCTAAATGTTTGTCAGTATAACATTGTAAATGTAAAAACTTAAAAAGTATGAATTTTTTTATTATGTATTTTATTTTTTAACTTTCATGTTACAAACTACAAATTTATCATTAATCTATATTATTTATCTAAAAAGTAGTACAGTCTTAATTTAGTTAAAGTGACCATTTGTATTGTCAAAGATGTATCCTCTTGTCTTATTAAAAGTCCTACAAAAAGTTCCACAGCTAAAAGATTTCCAAGTTACAACGCTGTTCTACCGCGCCAAAGTTTTTCTGAAAGCTGCTGGTCGATGTCCCGCTAGTGAGACTCGAGCTTCGTCTCCCATCCCTCTCGCACTTCACATTAACCATACATTAAAAAGGGACAACAACAATTCTTATGACGCGCTATAAATTTGCAAAACTTGAAGCGGTCTTACTACGATAATATTGATGGTAAGAGTTACGGTCGTTTTAGTATAACGCGACTGGTTTTAAAATGACCTTAAGTGGTTAGTTTCTTTAGTGAAGTGATAGGTGTATTTAAATTGGTCAGGTTGGCGATATTATTCTTGGCAAGTGTATATGGATAGCGGGTTGATTGGTTCGAATATAAGTCTATTGAACAGTTTCGATCAGTGGAAGACTATTTTTTGTTAGATAATCTAATTATGAATTTGTATTTAGATATGGTGGTCAATAGACCGCTTTGTATATGTAGATGTGTTTAAATATTTATTCGTTTCTATAAAAGGTCTAGACACAATCTTGGCAGTTGCTTTTGCATAGAAAAGAAATTAATTATATCTGTGACTTCACTTTATGTAACGTTTTAGTGGTTTTTGAGATAAAATCTTCTAAATGTCTCACCTCTGTTGGTGTTGTTATTCGTTTGAGAAATAAACTTTGTCGTTGTATTTTATTTTATTCAATTTCGATAATTCCAAGAATAGTTAGTTTATATGGATTATCAATGCGTTCACTTTTTAATAAAAACATAACATAACATCACGCCTTTTATTCTCGAAGGGGTAGGCAGAGGTGCACATTATGCCACTGTACAATGTAACACCCACTTTTTACTATTTATGTTATGGGTGCCATGTAATAGGGGGTGAACCTATTGCCATATACCGGGCACAATTCCAGACTCCGTGCTACTACTGAGAATTTTGAAAAACCCAGTAATACTTTGCCCGACCCGGGAATCGAACCCGAGACCCCTTGCTTGGCAGTCGCACTTGCGACCACTCGGCCAACGACGCAGTCTTTTTAATAATATTAATTTAATAATATTAGACGTATAAGGAACGTAATCAACATGTGTGCTATTGATTACATTAACTACTTCAGAGTTGCAGATGACCATGGATAGCAGTCATTTACCATCAGACCAATCTGCTCGTTTGCCCTATTTAATAGCCATTCGTTAAACAGCCAACAAACTAGATAAATTTTAGCACATCTAATTACAAATTTATGTATAAACTACGTTAGCTAATTTCCTACTTCGAATAATTCCTGTATGTACTTTTTTTTAAAAGCAACTTCAACCTCCTTCTTGTTTTGAAGTCGGTGAATATACTACAAGTACTTCTAAACGTAACTAAAATATTCATGTAAACCTAAATTGGTTCAGATAATCACGAAGTCGCGGATAAATAAAAAAAATATTTCAATTACAAGAGGCATTTCACACATCACCTTTTAAACAAGGTATTGCTTGGGCTATTAGACTCCGCTCTGCCAAATGTCATTTCAAGTAATTAAAGTTACAATGTAGTTAATGTAAACATGGAAGATTAACAAAAAAACAAGAAGAAAATAAGTCAAGTTAAACTTACAATTCTAGTCGCCTAAGCAATGAATGAGCATTTTTTTTTTTTTATGGCATAAGCCGGTAAACGAGCAGACGGATCACCTGATGGAAAGCAATCGGCGTCGCCCATGGACACCTGGAACACCAGAGGCGTTACAAGTGCGTTACCGGCTATTTGTGGATTAGGAGTTTGAGGATTGTTGGGGATTCAGGGATTGGGGAGATTGGGGAAGGGGAGGGAAATTGGGCCTCCGGTAACCTCACTCACGCGACGAAACACAATGCAAGCGTTGCTTCACGTCGGTTTTCTGTGAGGCCGTGGTATCACTCCGGTCGAGCCGGCCCATTCGTGCCGAAGCATGGCTCTCCCACACTTGTGAGCATATTTGTGAGACATACTAAATTATCTAAAAATCGCGGTTTACTCACGTGAATATACTGAGAAAAGTTCTACTAGTTTCGAACCACAGAGGGGTTCTTCGCTATCCTTTCCCATTTTTCGGTCTCTGATGACGCACTGGAATGGTTTTCTTCTTATCTTCAGGAGCGTCAGCAATCAGTTCACGTTGATGAGACCTCATCAAACTGGAACCACTTGCAGACTGGCGTTCCTCAAGGCGGTATTCTCTCTCCTCTTTTATTCTCTATTTTCATAAACCTTATTACTTCTGAACTTCAGTGTGCGTACCATCTGTATGCCGACGACCTACAGGTGTACTGTCGGGCTAAGATCGAGGATTTGCCTGGGGCAATCGCGAGAGTGAACGCTGACTTAGCTGCTATATATAATTGGTCTGAGAGGTTTGGAATAGCTGTGAACCCGAATAAATGTCAGGCGATTATGGTGGGAAGTTCTCGTACCTTGTGTAAGGTTGACAGTGCAACTATGCCGCCTGTACTGTTCAACGGTGCGATCATACCTTTCAGCGGCGACGTGAAGAATCTTGGCTTGTATGTTGACAGTAACTTAAACTGGCGTGCTCATGTCACTAGCATATGCCAACGGGTCACCGGGACGCTGCGGGCCCTGTATCGTTTGAGAAACTTTCTTCCGTCCTCTGCTAAGATAATGCTTGTCCAGTCCTTGGTTTTCCCCATTATTGATTATGCTGATGTGTGTTTTTTCGACCTGAATGCAGATCTACTTAACAAACTTGACCGCCTTTTGAATACCTGCATTCGATTCGTCTTCAACCTGCGTAAGTACGACCATGTCTCTGCATTTCGATTGCAACTAAAGTGGTTGCCCATACGTCAGCGCAGGGAACAACGGGCGCTAACCACTTTATTCTCCCTTCTTAATTCTCCCAATTCTCCTACTTATCTTTCCTCATATTTCCAGTATGTGAGCGCTAACCATAGCAAATACCTCCGTTCTTCTAATAATCTTCTGTTACAATGTCCCACACATCGAACTGACTTCCTTCACTCTTCTTTTTTCGTCCAATCCATCTTGCTGTGGAATGCGATGCCGACGGATATCAGGACGGCGACCAGTCGTCTGTCCTTCAAATTTAAGGTTCGTGAGTATCTACAGAAGAGGCTAGCAGACTCAACACACACTTAGGTCTTGTACGTATTTACATATATGTATGTGTATAATTATGTATGTATATATGTTATGTTATGTATTTTCCTTCGTATATTTAGGTATATATATGTCCCATACTTATTTGTCTACTGTTCGTTTTGCATTACGTATATATTTTAATACTTCTTCATTATATTTAATTAGTATATATTGTGTGATATGTATAATTATATATGATGTTAATGTTAATGTTAATTATTGTGTCACTCTAATAAGTGTTAAACGTTTACACCTACTATTGTATCTCTCTGCACCACCCTAAGGTTGACTGTTAGAAAATGCCACTAGGCATTAAGTCCGCCGTTGTATATCTACAAAAAGTGTAAATAAATAAATAAAAAAAAATAAGTATAATAGTTTTGCTAATGTTTCTATGTAGGTATCATGTAATACGATGTCTGATTTTGAAAATTAAATTCCTTTTTGGCAAAAAAAAACATAACGACCTATAAATCTACGAAAGAGGAATGTTACATCCAGTTTTTACTAGCTAGGTTATACACCTCATGAAATAGATGATGGCAGCAGCTGTTTCAGCTTAAGAGGCCAGTAGAATACCAGCGCAACGCCCTGTCTTGCACATACTGAACTGGTCCCATTTCACAGCAGACTTAGGACATGAACATCTATACATCATTTCCTGCTAATAGAATGATTTATCTGTACATGTTACTTCTTTTTAACGTGAAATAAAGTTAATTTCTTTCTTTCTTTCAGACTCCATGCTACTCAAGAAACTCACAATCCCTTATAATATTCTGCATAACTCAAAAATTGAACCCGAGACCCCTTGCTTAGTAACTGCACTTAGGACCGACTCGATCAACAAGGTAGTTTTATAACAATGTGTTTTTTGCCCTACTTAGTTACGGTTTACTAGCCGCTAGCCTATTGTCATAATATGGATTCCCTGGCTTCTTTTTTAACACAGGAATGTACTGTAATCATAACTGCGAATTTGGTGCCTTAACTGCACTGTTAAGCATGGCGATTAGTGATTACCAGTCGTTACTACAGTTTTGTAGTTAAATGTCACAATAAAATCTAGTATACTCCAAACGTCTACCTGCCTTTAAAATGCATTGCAAATAACAAACAAAGCCGTGTTGATTATTATTATACACTTTCATGTTTGCATTAAAACATCCTTTATCCCATAATTTTACGTCACAAACAGTAACTTTACTAAAACCATATCAAATTTCAAATATTCGCAAAAAAAAATCAAAAAGATTGACACAAAACATAATAAAACCAACCTCCTTGATGATACTTCAATGAATAATAATAAAATGCCGTGTGACATTCCTTAAATACCTCTATCTCCTTCACACACAAGTACAGCTCAATGTTAGAA